TTTTTCATGAACGCACCAAACATATCGAAGTTGATTGTCATTCAATACGTGACGCCTACGATGATCGAATAATATCACTTCCTCACGTCAGTACGCAGTTGCAGGTTGCAAATATTCTTACCAAGGCTGTTCCACGCCCAAGACATCAGTTTCTTGTTAGCAAATTGATGCTCCTTGACCAGCCGCATCAATTTGAGGGGGGATGTTAATTAGGAAATAATCTTTGCAGTTATTGTGAATAATTTACATTTATAGAATAGGAAATTAGTCATTATGAATTGTAATTAGTCATTATCAGCTATAATTAGTTATTATGAGTTGTAATTACCGACACTATTATATATAGTATGAAAGGCAATGAGAAAGGCATCAAGCCAAATTTCGTGACAGAGGAATATATTCCATTGGCTAGAGACATTAGGGGCTGAAACCATATCATTACTGAAAATTTAGTTCTTACTTTCCGCATAAAGATACTCTTAGTTTTCAATTTGTATTAGTGAAAATTGATTTGTTTGTCTTGAATTTATAGTATTCCAGTTATCAATCGTAACATAAGTCACATGGAAGATAGTAACATAGGAATATACGAAGAACCGGCGGAAATCTGTTGTTGAACGTTTTGGAGGGAGGTGTAATAAATTTAGAAAAATAGTGATGTTAAAGATACACGCCAAAATTTAATATCTAATTAAATCAACAAGTTATTATTGATAGTTTTCATTTTTCATCATGAACCTCAAACATCAATTCTTTTTAAATAGGATTTCTATTTATAAGATCTCTTGGCACTATTCACATATAATAAGAATTCTCATAGTTAACACTTATTGAGTATCTATAAGAACTCACTAAGTTTTGATTAGTTTGAACAATCTCTTGTATCATTTATATTCTCATTCAGGAAACATTTTGATTTCCTAAGTAATAATATATGAAAGAAATAAAATGGAAAATCTTCATTATTGAAGACAATATTCTGTACAAGTTAGCCTGATCAACTAATCTATCTCAAGCTAGTCTATCTAAATCTCCATTAGCATGACTTACAGCTCAATTCAATTCAAGCGCGAGGTGAGGTTTAGGAAATCATCTTCACTGCATGGAATTGTGAGACCACCCATTGGATGGTCATATCCAAATTCTTCTTCTACTTGATTTAATAACTCTTGAAACATTGGTTGGTTCAAGTATGATACCGGAATCAAAAACCGCCTCATTTTATCGCCCACATAGATGGCGAGATAGCCTTTAGGAACTTCAAATCCTTTGGTAGATCCTTGGGTTCTGGAAAATGATGCTCTTCTGATAATACTTGTTATGCGGAAACCCATTGTCTTTTTTATGTTAAAGGACTGGATGAGAAATAGATATTGAGTTGTGATGTTTTAGGATGTAAAAGACTTGTGATGTTGTGAAACCAAGGAGTAGTGTATATATAGTTGTAATAGGGCCTACTCAGTACCCCACATTCTGAGATAATGGCCAACATATAACCTACTTGAAATTAAAACATTTCATGGTGAATGAACCCTGATGTCTGTTGTTATAGCTAATCCAATGGTAGACATGGTTTAGACATCTCACATCACATGTTACTTTGAACTAACAATCCTGCTAATATACATTTACCAAATAATGTATCCGAATTTTGTAAGAACTGATTGATAGCATCTCAGGAACAGTGTTAGAAGACAAGAATAAATTTAATATTGAATACAAGATCATTATGAACCACATTTTATATTTTTGTAAGTTAAACTCCATAAGACAATATCATGTGATCTTATTTATGGTCTTGTCTCCTTGTAGATCCTATGACCACTTCCTCCTAATCGTATACTATAGTATACCTTCCTTCACCAATTATTCAAGTAGCCAACAGTTTTTCAATATTTTCTTATCTATATATATATATATTCGTTGATACAACCATTTAGAACCAACACAACTAATTCACATCCTAAAGCATTACAATATCAAAAACCTTCTCTTGCTTACAAGTTTTTTTTAAAACAAATTATTTTCAGGTTTCAACTCATACAACAATGGGTTTCCGTTTCCCTAGTTTGACCAGAAGGGCATCATTTTCTGCAAACCGAGCTGTTTTAAAAGTTGTGGACGTGCCAAAGGGATACCTTGCAGTCTATGTTGGAGAAGAAATGAAGCGGTTTGTGATCCCAATATCATACTTGACCCAACCATCATTTCAAGACTTGTTAAGTCAGGCCGAGGAAGAGTTCGGATATGATCATCCAATGGGTGGCCTAACCATTCCTTGCACCGAAGATGTCTTTCAACACATTATTTATTTCTTAAATAGGCTATGATTCTGACATTGAATGAGACTAACATAGTTTAGTAGAGATAATGTTTCTAAACAAGGCATCTTACCAAATTGTAAAGATGGCGAAAAATCACCTTTAGATTGATAAACTCATTATTATGTATATATTTTTAATGACAATGAATCCGACTATTCATGCATCTCCTCTGTGATTTTGCTTATTGAACTTAAGAATTTATGAAATATGACAATGTGAGTAATATTTCTTGGAATTATAACACATGATTCAAAAGCAACAAGTACACAATAACAGTGAGAGTAACGGGTAAATTATTTCATTGAATGACACCGGCCTCATTCTATGGTTCCTGTTAGGGCCACATCCTTATCAAATTAAAGAATTGAATGGCTAGTACTTACCTAGTATGCTATCTTATGAGGTTTAGTGAGAGACAGCAGCTCACGAACCACCACATGGTGTTGTCTTATAGACTTTCTTCAAGAGTCACAAGAATATTGGCCCACTTTGTAGATGAGTTGCCTACATAGTTATTGCTAGAATATGAAAGAGATTAGTATAGAAATGAACTTAATTATAGTTTAACTGGTGCAATGCCTTTCTTTATCTGTTAAAGACATTTCACATTTTAACTTTTTTCTACCCATCTCTAATGTCTCTACATTGTTAGTCCTAATAAATGTTGCATTGCTAAAAAGGCAGTGCATGACAGCTAAAGAAAATTTCTTCAATTGTTGATACATTATCTGTAAATTACTATTAGTCATGGGTCTGATAGGAGCTTAAATTCAATATTGATACATGTTATAATGTCTGCGGTTAAAATTAATGGCTTTCATTGTCATAACAGCTTGCAGGACAAGTACTTTGTGAAGAGCACGGAAAGTCCTTTTGATTGTATACTCTTCATCAAAACCTCACCACTGTTTCCAAGTTTCCAAGTACCACACAACATATTCTTATGGATACACGAAGGATAATGGATAGAGAGAAGACAAGAAGAGGTGCAGGGATGCTCCACGATGGACACCATTGCCAATCAAGGCGTATCACATATTCTTGTCGATGAGGGCAGCTCTTGCGACATCATGTAAGAAGATTTATTCACAAAAAGTTGACAAAGGTTTCATGCCAAAGGCTCATGTTTCGGGTAGGTGACAAAGTAGAGACTGTGGAGGCGGATAAAAATCCTTTCTCAGTAGAAGTCAAAATTTAATATGATGGGCTAATTAAGTCCAATAGTTAATATTGATGGTTTTCATTTTTCATCATGAACCTCAAACATCAATTCTTTTTAAATATGATTCCTATTTATAAGTTCATTTGCCACTATTTACATATATTTAGAATTCTCATAGTTAACACTTATCGAGTATGTATTAGAACTCACTGAGTTTTAATAAGTTGGAACAGTCTCTTGTATCATTTATATTCTCATTCAGAAAGAAATAAAATGGAAAATCTTCATAATTGAAGACAATGTTCTGTACAAATTAGCCTCAACTAATCTATCTCAAACTAGCCTATCTAAATCTCCATTAGCATGATTAACAGCTCAATTCAAGCGAGAAGTGAGGTTTAGGAATTCATCTTCACTGCATGGGATTGTGAGACCACCCATTGGATGATCATATCCGAATTCTTCTTCTGCTTCATTTAATAACTCTTGAAACAATGGTTGGTTCAAGTATGATACCGGAATCACAAACCTCCTCATTTTATCTCCAACATAGACGGCAAGAAATCCTTTGGTAGATTGCGTTCTGGAAAATGATGTTCTTCTGCTAACACTTGTTATACGGAAACCCATTGTTTATGTTAAAGGACTGGATGAGAGATAGATATTGAGTTGTGATGTTTTAGGATGTAAAAGACTAGTATTGTTTGTGAAAGCAAGGAGTAGTGTATATATAGTTGCTAAGGGCCTAGTGACGGACAAGGGATCTTATTGTACTGTCTTATAGAAGTGATTTTCAAGGATTAGGATGCTAAATGGAAGAACATGTACATACATACCCCACATTCTGAGATAATGGCCAACATATAACCTACTTGAAATTAAGACATTGCATGGTGAGTGAAACCTGATGTCTGTTGCTATAACTAATCCAATGGTAGGCATGGTTTGGACATCCTACACCACATGTTTCTTCGAACTAACAATCCAGCTAATATACATTTACCAACTAATGTATCAGAATTATGAGCAACATGTAAGGTTTGTGTAAGACCTGATTGATAGCAGCATAGAAACAGTGTAAGGTGACAAGAAGAGAACCAATATTGAATACAAGATCATTATGAACCACATTTTATATTTTTGTAAGACAGACACCACGAAATTTGCATACCAGAACAGAACTGTGGGGTCCCTGCCTTGCGAAACAAGTTCAAGGTCAATTAAACTTTGGAAAGACCTCTAAGACAATAGCATGTGATCTTGTTTATGCTCTTGTCTCCTTGTAGATCCTATGACCCCATCCTCCTAATCCTATACTATACTATAACTTCCTTCACCAATCATTCAAGTGGCCAACAGTTTCTCAATATTCTTTTATCTATATATATTCATTGCTACAAGCATTTAGGACCAACACAACTATTTCACATCCTAAAGCATTACAGTATCAAAAACCTTCTCTTGCTTACAAGTCATTTTTTAAACAATTTATTTTCAAGTTTCAACATACAACAATGGCTTTTCGTTTCCCTAGTATGATCAGAAGGGCATCATTTTCTGCAAACCGAGCAAGTTCAAAAGCTGTGGACATGCCAAAGGGATACCTTGCAGTCTATGTTGGAGAAGAAATGAAGCGGTTTGTGATCCCAATTTCATATTTAAACCAACCATCATTTCAAGATTTGTTGTGTCTGGCCGAGGAAGAGTTTGGATATGATCATCCAATGGGTGGCCTAACCATTCCATGCACAGAAGACGTCTTTCAACACATTACTTCTTGCTTGAATAAGCTATGATTCTGACACCAACAGAGACTGAAATAGTTTAGAGATAGTTTTTTTTGTAAGTTAGGCATCTTTGCAAATTGTAAAAATGGCAAGAAAATGACCATTAGATTGACAAATTTATTTAGTATATAAGTTTTTGTATAATGACAATGAATCCGACTATTCAAGCATCTCCTATGTGTTTCTTGTTTATTGCACTTAAGAACTTAGGAAATATGAGTATACAAATAATATTCCTGAAAATTTTCTAACAGGAATTGAAGATATGATTTCTACCAAGGGGATATCAAATTTTATTTTTTGGACAAAAAAAGAAAGGTTAACTAAACAATTCTTTTTTCTTTTACTACAATAGACATGAAATTAAAAATTTGGGGGTCCAAAGCCTTAATACTAGTGGAGGTACCTTCCCTTTATAAGGAATCAGTTGACAATAACAGTGACAGTAACAAGTTCAATTATTTCTATGGTGCCTGTTATGATATCCTTATCTAAGAACTGAATGGTTAGAAATTACTTATAATTGGACAACTGCTCACGAACCACCACATGGTGTTGTTATATACTTTCACCGTTTTGTAGATGAGTCACCTACATAGTTATTGCTAGAAAATGAAAGAGATTAGTATAGAAATGAACTTAATAATAGTTTAACTTGTGCAATGCATTTCTTTATCTGATATAGACATTTCCCATTTTAACTTTTTTGTACACATCTCTAATATCTCTACGTTGTTAGTCCTAATAAAAATTGTTAATTAGGAAATAATCTTTGCAGTTATTGTGAATAATTTACATTCATAGAATAGGAAATTAGTCATTATGAATTGTAATTAGTTATTATCAGCTATAATTAGTTATTATGAGTTGTAATTACCGACACTATTATATATAGTATGAAAGGCAATGAGAAAGGCATCAAGCCAAATTTCGTGACATGGTATCAGTAGGTTCGATCAAACCTGGAAAATATTATTATATTGGCTGATCAGCGATACTCCACTGGTTCGCTCTCGTAATCGTGTTCGTTTCGAAATTCTTTCGTTTGAAATCAAAACCTTGCAGCTGTCTGAGATTCTAAATCTTTGGTTGCCGGTTCGTGATTTCGTCTTGGAGATTCTCGTTGTTGCGCTGATATTGCAATCAATTTTTTTTGGTTCTTGGCTGTTGTTGCTTCGTGATTCTGGATCGTCATAATCTTCTGTTTTGCCGCTCCTTCCAAATCGTGGATTTGATCGTGCTGTTGTTCGTTGGTTCGTGGGTATTGTTTCTTGTTGCTGCTCTAGTAACTGTGATTACAGTTACTGTTATTATATTATAGTTATTATTATTATTATTATAATTATTATTATAATAATAATAAAATAATATTAGTGAGATTGTATCTGGTGGTTTAATAATTTAGATGGCTTCCGAAAAAGAAAGAGATAATTTTTGTGTTCGTTTTACCGGCAAGAATTATTCGGCATGGGAATTTCAGTTCAAGATGTATGTTAAAGGAAAGGGATTATGGAGTCACTTAGATGATGTTTCTAAGGCACCAACGGAGAAAACTGCTTTAGATGCGTGGGAAACTAAAGATGCTCAAATTATCACTTGGATTCTAAACAGTATTGATCCTCAGATGATAAATAATTTGCGTTCTTTTTCAACTGCTCAAGAAATGTGGAATTATCTGAAGCGCATTTACAACCAGGACAATTCGGCAAAACGTTTTCAGTTGGAGTTAGACATCGCCAACTACAAACAAGGTGATTTGTCTATTCAAGAATACTATTCTGGTTTTTTAAATCTTTGGGCAGAACACTCTGCTATTATACATGCTAATGTTCCCAAGACCTCTCTTGCGGCTGTTCAAGAGGTCTACAACACAAGTAGGCGAGATCAATTCCTCATGAAGCTTCGTCTAGAATTTGAGGTTGTCAGAGGTGCTTTGCTAAATAGGAATCCTGTTCCTTCTTTGGATACATGTGTTGGTGAACTTCTCAGGGAGGAACAACGTCTCCTTACTCAAGGAACCATGTCTCATGATACTGTCAGTTCTGAGCCTGTGGCAATTGCATATGCTGCTCAAAGTAGAAATAAAGGTCGTGATATGCAACATGTCCAATGTTTTTCTTGCAAACAGTTTGGACATATTGCTCGTAACTGTAATAAGAAGTTTTGTAATTATTGCAAACAACAAGGTCATATCATTTCTAACTGTCCCACGCGTCCTCCACGACCAGCACATCATTCGGTGAAGGCATTTCATGCCACTACAGGCCATACAATTGGCTCTTCCACCACTGGTGCATCAGATGGCAATGCTCTACAACCTGAAATGATTCAACACATGGTACTTTCTGCCCTTTCAGCCTTGGGTATTAAGGGTAAGTCTTCTCATGTTTCTCGTCCATAGTTTATTGATTCTGGTGCATCCAATCACATGACAGGTTCATCTGAAAACTTGCACAATTTACATTCTTATAATGGTAATCAGAAAATTCAGATTGCTAATGGTAATACCTTGTCTATCACTAACGTTGGGGACATAAACTCGGATTTTCAGAATGTGCTTGTCTCACCTAGACTTGCTTCTAATTTATTGTCTGTTGGTCAATTGGTGGACAATAATTGTAATGTTAATTTTTCTCGATCTGGTTGTCTTGTGCAGGAGCAGGTGTCGGGGAAAGTGATCGCGAAGGGGCCTAAAGTGGGAAGATTGTTTCCAATACAGTTTATTTCTAATCATTTGTCTCTTGCTTGTCATAATGTTTTGAATTCCTATGAGGATTGGCATAGAAAACTAGGTCATCCAAACTCTTTTGTTTTGTCTCATTTATGTAAAAGTGGCTTGTTGGGAAATAAAAATGTTATTCCTGATGCCTCTGTTTCATGTTCTGTTTGTAAATTGGCTAAAAGTAAGACACTTCCTTTTCCGTCTGGTGCTAATCGTGCTTCCACTTGTTTTGAGATGATTCATAGTGATGTATGGGGAATGTCTCCTGTGGTTTCTCATGCTCACTATAAATATTTTGTCACATTTATTGATGATTATAGTCGTTTTACTTGGATATATTTTCTCCGTTCTAAATCCGAAGTGTTTTCTATGTTTAAGAAATATTTGACATATGTTGAAACTCAATTTCAAGCAAGTGTTAAAATTTTTCGATCTGACTCTGGTGGTGAGTACATGTCTCATGAGTTTCAGGAATACCTTCAACAAAAAGGCATCTTGTCTCAACGGTCTTGTCCCAATACCCCTCAACAAAATGGCACGGCAGAACGTAAGAATCGTCATTTGCTTGATGTAACACGCACCTTACTTCTCCAAGCTTCTATACCATCCCGATTTTGGGTGGAGGCTCTTTCCACGGCTGTCTTCTTGATCAATCGTATTCCTTCTACAGTTATTGATCTTGATTCTCCTTTCTTCTGTCTATTTAAAATTCATCCTGATTATAGTGCTTTACATACTTTTGGGTGTGTGTGTTTTGTTCACTTACCTCCTTTTGAAAGGCATAAGCTTGGAGCACAATCCGTTCAATGTGCATTTATGGGATATAGTAACTCTCATAAGGGATTTGTGTGTTATGATGTCTCTAACCATCGTTTTCGCATTTCTAGAAATGTGACATTTTTTGATAATCAGTTTATGTTTCCCTGTGGTTCTCCTGCCATTAATGATATTGTTACTCTTCCTAACTTTTCTATTATGCCTCAAGCTATAGAACGTTATAAACCAGGTCATGTATATGTCAGAAAACACAGACAACAGGTTCCCACACCCCTTCCCGATGCTGAACTGCCACCTGATCCTGTACCGGTTGAACCACGACGTTCTGGTCGAATATCCCGCGCACCAGATAGATATTCACCAGACAGGTATGATTCCTCACATACTTCTCTGACTGCCACACTCTCTAGCATATCTATTCCTACTTGTTACTCACAGACTGTTAAAGATGTGCGATGGATAAAAGCAATGACTGAAGAGCTCCAAGCTCTTCAAGAGAATTTCACATGGGATATCGTCACTTGTCCTCCAAATGTAAAACCTATAGGTTGCAAATGGGTGTATTCTGTGAAACTGAATTCTGATGGGTCCCTCAATCGTTACAAGGCTCGTTTGGTTGCGTTAGGAAACAAGCAGGAATATGGAATTGATTATGATGAGACATTTGCACCGGTTGCCAAAATGACAACTGTCCGCACAATCATGTCTATAGCTGCTTCTAATGGGTGGACTCTTCATCAAATGGATGTGAAGAATGCTTTTCTTCATGGTGACCTGACAGAAGATATTTATATGACTCCACCTCAAGGCTTATTCTCTTCATCTAAAGGCGTGTGTAAGCTCAAACACTCCTTATATGGTTTGAAACAGGCACCTCGAGCATGGTACGAGAAACTCCGCGCCACTATACTTGGATTCTCCTATACTCAGAGTCAGTATGATTCATCTTTATTTATTCATAGCACATCTGCGGGTATTGTTCTGCTTCTTTTGTATGTTGATGATATGGTTATTACTGGTTCGGATCATGCTTCCATTCAGCGACTTAAGCAACAGCTACAGGCCTCATTTCATATGAAAGATCTGGGTAATCTACATTATTTTCTTGGTCTTGAGGTTCATTCTACATCCAAGGGCATCTTTCTCCATCAACACAAGTATGCTACAAATTTGATTTCTATGGTCGGTCTTGAATCGGCTAATCCAGTAGATACTCCTCTTGAGGTTAATGTTAAATATCATCGTGATGATGGGGATCTGTTGCCTGATCCCTTATTGTATCGACAACTTGTGGGTAGCCTCAACTACTTAACTATTACTCGCCCTGACATATCTTTTGCTGTTCAACAAGTAAGTCAATTCATGCATTCTCCTCGCCATCTTCACTTGGCTGCAGTTCGTCGTATAATTCGCTACTTAAAAGGAACCTCTCACCGCGGATTATTCTTTTCCGTTGGAACTTCTCTTCAGTTGAGCGCTTATAGTGATGCTGATTGGGCAGGGTGTCCTGATACTCGTCGATCTGTTACTGGTTGGTGTATGTTTCTTGGTTCTTCATTGATCTCTTGGAAAAGTAAGAAGCAAGCAAGAGTTTCTAAATCTTCTACTGAATCAGAGTATCGTGCCATGTCTGCTGCGTGTTCAGAAATACTTTGGCTTCGTGGTCTTTTGGCTGAACTTGGATTTCCCCAAACAGAGTCAACTTCACTTTATGCTGACAATACAAGTGCCATCCAAATTGTTGCAAATCCTGTTTTTCATGAACGCACCAAACATATCGAAGTTGATTGTCATTCAATACGTGACGCCTACGATGATCGAATAATATCACTTCCTCACGTCAGTACGCAGTTGCAGGTTGCAGATATTCTTACCAAGGCTGTTCCACGCCCAAGACATCAGTTTCTTGTTAGCAAATTGATGCTCCTTGACCAGCCGCATCAATTTGAGGGGGGATGTTAATTAGGAAATAATCTTTGCAGTTATTGTGAATAATTTACATTCATAGAATAGAAAATTAGTCATTATGAATTGTAATTAGTTATTATCAGCTATAATTAGTTATTATGAGTTGTAATTACCGACACTATTATATATAGTATGAAAGGCAATGAGAAAGGCATCAAGCCAAATTTCGTGACAAAAATGCATTCCTAAAAAGCCGGTATATGACAGCTAAATCAAATTTCTTCAATTGTTCTGATACAATATCTCCATATTACTATTAGCATTGGTCTGATAGAAGCATAAATTCAATATTGGTACATGTTCTAATGTCTGTGGTTAAGTTAATGGCTTTCTTTGTCATAACAGCTTGCAGGACAAGTACTTTGTGAAGAGCACGGAAAGTCCTTTTGATTGTATAGTCATCATCGAAACCCCACTTTTGCCAACTCTACAAGAACCGCGCAACATGCAATTTAATTGCAAGCTGATGAGACATTATTTTATGGTGGAAATTGCATATAGATGATCACAAGTATCAAGAGTTGTTTAGACGTACTCTAGCATAGATACTTCAGGTGGTGTGATATGTTGGTTTCTATTATCACATTATTTGATCTTTGAGAAAGACTTCTTAGACATTACCATGTGATCTTGTATATGCTCTTGTCTCTTTGTAGATACTATGACCCAATCCTAATTAATACAGTTCTCCTCCACCGAACATTTAAGTAGCCAATGGTTTCTCAATATTCTTTTATCTATCTATCTATCTATCTATATAGTTACAAGCATTTAGGACCAACTCAACTTACTCACATCCTAAAGCGTTCCATTTTCAAAAACTTGGTTATAGTTTTAAAAGAGTTGTCTCAAAACCAATTCTTCTCAAGTTTTAACACATACAACAATGGGTTTTCGTTTCCCTAGTATTATCAGAAGCACATCATTTTCTACAAAACGGGGAGTTTTAAAAGGCGTGGACGTACCAAAGGGATATCTAGCAGTATATGTTGGAGAGAAACAGACGCGGCATGTGATTCCTGTGTCATACTTGAATCAACCATTGTTTCAGGACTTATTGAGTCAAGCCGAGGAAGAGTTTGGATACATTCATCCAATGGGTGGCCTCACCATTCCATGCACAGAAGATGTGTTCCAACATACTACTTCTAGCTTGAATGGTCTGTAATTTTGAAAGTTGAAGAGACTGACATAGTTAAGTAGACTAGAGACAATTTTGCAAATGAGTCTTGTTATCTAATTGAAAATTTTACACAACTTGTATTTTTGGAACATGCTATCAAATTGTAAATTATGAATGTGTAATGACAATGAATTCAATTGCTCAAAGATTTCCTTTGTTTTTTATTTATTCATTAAAATGTTCATTCCTTCCTGCACTTAAGGTCTGGTGAAATATGAGTAATGTTGCTTGCTATATGAAATTACAGAGTTGGTATTCTGAGAAAGTATACTTTGATCAAAATGAAGGATAATTTTATTTGTATAACTAAAGCAATTATTAATTTTAGATATACGGAGAGTCTTATCGTACATGCTGCAGGGTGGGATCAATGTGAATGAGGAGTAATAAAAATCTCTCATAAGTAATATACAAAATAGAGTACAACATATCTTTGAGTCATTCTAGACATCATGTGATTTTGTTAGACAAAATGATAAACTCTTGAAGCATGAAACTATCTCCATATAACGCATGGCCTATGTAATAATTTCTACATGCTACAAAGCAGAATGACTTCTAGTTATCTTTGGCCCTACATAGTCTATTTGATGAATTGGATGCAAATATCATGTGTTGATAAGAAATTGCAGAGTCAATTTTCATTTGCACGCTTTTCGAAGATCAATGTGTTAGGGGGAGATTTTTCAATTAGGGAATATTGAACATTGTGGGACTTTTCCTTTCTAGAACAACACCTTTGTGAGAGATACACCACATACTCACCCAAAACCTTAAAGTAATAGGTGTATGGGTTCTCCCAATTATAATTGGTCAAGTAACCACATTTCTATTCAATGTGAAACTATTATCCATACTACTCACACTTGTTATATTTAACACTCACCCTCAAGTGTGAGTCTATCCACAATGCTCCACCTTAAGTGAAAACTCTTCTTGCTTCCACATACACATGTACCGCCGTTGACATTCTTTAACGAGACATTATACCCACCACCTGTGGGGATACTTTCGATACAAGTGAGTCGGTCTCTTTCCTGAACCAAATGCTCAAATACCCCTGTTAGGGGTGTCAACAGAATTATTGGCAATAATGAGTTAATTATTAGAAATAATTTTGTAGAGATTGTATATTTATTTGTAATATTTATTCTCTTAATTAACATAATTAGCTGTAAATGTAAATAGGGCAGTTTAGCTAATTTAGTGGGTTGAATATTCAACCTGACAGCTTGTAACTACAATATTTATATGAGAGATCAGAATGAAAAGACACGGTTCTTTGACCAAAACTTTCTTAGTTAACATGGTATCAGCCTAGGTTAATATCCAAGAACCTAGTCTTTTTTTTTTTTTCACGATCTTGTTTCGTCTTTGTTCTCGTTTTTTTCTCTCTCTTGTTTCTCGCTCAATTCGTCGTTCTTGTCCAATTCCTATTTCCATAGATCCATGTCTACCGAAAAGTATGAAGTCTTGTTGGTTCGCCTTAATGGCAAAAACTACGCAGCTTGGGCATTCCATTTCGAGATTTTCGTCACAGGAAAAGATTTGTGGGGTCATGTTGATGGCAACACTCCAGCCCCTGACAAAGACAAAGAAAAAGTTGCACATGCCAAATGGGTGGTCAAAGATGCTCAAGTCATGTCCTGGGTTCTAGGTTCTGTTGATCCCAACATTGTCCTAAATCTTCGACCTCACAAAACAGCAGCCACAATGTGGAAATATTTGAAGAAAGTCTACAATCAGAACAACGCCGCTCGAAGATTCCAGCTTGAACATGACATAACTCTCTTTAAACAGGATAGTCTCCCCATCTCTGATTTTTACTCTCAATTCATGAATCTATGGGCTGAATACACCGATATAGTTTATGCAGACTTGACTCCTGATGGTCTAAGTTATGTACAATCTGTTCATGAAACTACTAAACGAGATCAATTTCTTATGAAATTGAGATCTGAATTTGAAGGCATTCGGTCCAATCTCATGCATCGAAACCCTATCCCATCATTGGATGCGTGTTTCAATGATCTGTTACGTGAAGAACAACGTCTCCTTACACAATCCATCATTGAAGATAAAAAATTATCTACTGTTCCAGTGGCATATGTAGCACGAGGAAAATCAAGAAGTCATGACATGAGTTCTGTTCAATGTTTTTGTTGCAAACAATTAGGACACTATGCTTCAAACTGTCCAAAAAATTTTTGCAACTATTGCAAAAAAGATGGACATATTCTTAAGGAATGCCCAATCAGGCCACCAAAGAGAAATGTCACAGCTTTTACAGCCTCGGTTGAGTCATCTATTCCTAACAATTCCACCAATTCCGCACCAGTTCAACAAAATGCTTCCACTACTATTTCAACGGTGACCCCTGAAATGGTTCAACAAATGATCGTTTCAGCATTCTCTGCTCTAGGATTCTCAGGTAAATCCTCTTCCTCTTGGTACTTTGATTCGGGGGCTTCCAACCACATGACCAGCAATGCCCAATTTCTTACTAATATCAAAAAATATTTTGGAAATCTCAAGATACATACTGCTGATGGAAATCAATTGCCTATCACATCCACCGGTGATATTTCTTCATCTCTAACAAATGTTTTTGTTTCTCCTGATCTCACTAGTAATCTCATTTCAGTTGGTCAATTAGTTGAGAATGATTGTCAAGTACAATTCTCACAATCTGGTTGTCTTGTGCAGGACCAACAATCAGGGAAGATAATCGCGAAGGGGCCTAAAGTTGGACGTCTTTTCCCAATTCAGTTCTCATTGCCTCCAAGTCTTTCTCTTCCTTTAGTTTCGTGTAATTCTGCTATTGTTGATTACCAAGTGTGGCATAAGCGTCTTGGACATCCAAACACAAATGTACTTCATGCATTGCTAAAATCTAGTTTTCTTGGAAATAAACACATTCCATCTCTTAATTCTGTTCATTTTGATTGTATTCCTTGTAAGCTTGGTAAAAGTAAAATTTTGCCTTTTCCAACACATCAGTCTAATGTAACTCAACTTTTTGATATCATCCACAGTGATGTTTGGGGCATGGCACCAGTTATATCTCATGCTAATTACAAATATTTTGTAACTTTTATTGATGATTATAGTCGTTTCACGTGGGTCTATTTTTTGCGATCAAAAGATGAAGTCTTTTCCACTTTCAAATTTTTTCATGCTTATGTTCAAACCCAATTTTCATCAAAAATAAAAATATTTCGCTCTGACAATGGAGGGGAATACATGTCACACTCATTTCAGGAATATTTGCAATCCAATGGCATTATATCTCAAAGGTCATGCCCCTCAACTCCATAACAAAATGGAGTAGCGGAAAGAAAAAACCGTCATTTGCTCGATGTTGTCCGCACCCTTTTGTTGGAGTCTCATGTGCCGTCACGATTTTGGTGTGAAGCCCTTTCCACCGCTGTCCATCTTATAAACAGAATGCCATCTCCGTCAATAGGTAATGAATCCCCTTTCATTCGGTTATATGGTCACCCACCAAATTACTCCACTCTTCGTATTTTCGGTTGTGTGTGTTATGTTCATCTTACCCCACAAGAACGCACCAAGCTCACTGCACAATCTGTTGAATGTGCTTTTCTCGGATATTCTCCTCATCAAAAGGGCTTTCTATGTTATGATCCTAACCTTCGTAGGATTCGCGTATCTAGAAATGTCATTTTCCTAGAAAATATATATTTTTTTGCATCACATCATGACTTTGTCTCTTCTCCAGTTTCTGTTCTACCATTGTTTTCTAACTCTCATTCAGGTCAACAATCTTCTAAACCTCTCTTGACCTACAAAAGACGAAGTACTGTCACTCAAAACCAACCAACAGATGGGCCCCCTCAAGATAATTCCTTGGCTGCTGGTCCAGTAGAAGAAGAACCAGAACCAGCTCCTCTACGACGCAGCACACGCGATAAAAAACCACCAGAAAGGTATATCAGTTGCATGACAACATCATTATCTTCTATTCCTATTCCTTTATCTTATAAACAGGCCATGGAGAATAATTGTTGGCAGAAAGCTATTGAAACAGAACTTCTTGCCCTAGAAGAAAATCAAACTTGGGATATAGTGCCATGTCCCTCATCCGTTAAACCTTTAGGCAGCAAGTTTGTGTTCTCCATAAAGCTGCGATCGGATGGATCCATAGATCGATACAAGGCTCGTTTAGTTGTGCTTGGAAATAAGCAAGAATATGGACTTGACTATGATGAGACGTTTGCTCCGGTTGCCAAGATGACAACTGTGCGCACTATTCTTGCTATTGCTGCGTCACAAGCTTGGCCACTACATCAAATGGATGTTAAAAACGCATTCCTCCACGGTGATCTTCAGGAGGAAGTTTATATCAAACTTCCTAATGGTATGCCTACACCTTCACCTAACACTGTTTGCAAATTAAAACGATCTTTATATGGATTGAAACAGGCACCGAGAGTTTGGTTTGAAAAGTTTCGATCGACACTACTTGGTTTTGAATTCAATCAAAGTCAGTATGATCCATCTCTTTTCCTACAAAGGACTCCTAAAGGCATTGTGGTGCTTCTTGTTTATGTGGATGACATCGTCGTCACAGGTTCTGATCAAGATGCTATTTCTAGAATCAAACACTTGCTGCATTCAGCTTTTCAAATGAAAGAATTAGGCCATCTCACTTATTTCTTGGGATTAGAGGTGCATTATCATCATGAAGGTGTTTTTCTAAATCAGCAAAAGTATATTCAAGACTTGGTACAGCTAGCTGGACTAACAAATGCAACCCCCGTAGACACTCCCATGGAAGTTAATGTTAAATATAGAAGAGATGAAGGTAACATTCTGGATGATCCCACTCAATATCGCACACTGGTAGGAAGTCTTATCTATGTCACTATCACTCGTCCAGATATTTCTTTCGCTGTACACACGGTTAGTAAGTTCATGCAAGCTCCACGACATTTACATCTTTCAGCAGTACAACGGATCAT